AAAGATTTATGTTTGGTGTATTTGTTGGGTTTGGTGCCAAATTATCTGATTTGTAAAACAAATTATGAAATAACCTTTTTTTTTCTGGTAGAAAAATTTCAAAGTTATGTTAATTTCACTTTAAAATTTTGGTAGAAATTTCCAGTCTAGTTTTTTGCAGGTTTTGTTGTTTGTTTGGAGACAGGGTGTCACTAGGTAGTCTTGGCTGGCCTGGCACTTACGATGTATATTGAACTTAGTGTAATTCTGCTTCTGCCTCTGAAAAACTGGAATTATGGACCCTCAGACCCTGCTTTGTGCATGAATTTTTCTTTTCCTATTTTCTTTTTATTTCTGTTTTGCATTCATGATGGTATGGGTATTTTGTTGTTGATGATGATGTTCGTTTTGGATTTTTTTTATTTGTGTGTTTTGAGACTGGGATTCTCTTTGTAGCCTTGGCTGTCCTGGAACGAACTCTGTAGACCAGACTGGTCTAGAACTCACCTGCCTCTCTCCCAAGTGCACCTAATTAGAAGTGTGCATCACCACTACCTAGTTCCTTTTGGGTTTGTTAGCCAGGGTCTCACTGGTTAGCCCTGGCTGTCCTGGAACGTACTACCAAGCCCTGCTATTAAATATGTTGGTACTGTTTTATAGACTAGAAAAGTGGTCTCTTTTGAGGAATGATCTAAGGAAGGGCATTTTTAAAATACATATTTTCTGGAACTACCAAGATGGCTCAGCTGGTAAAGGCATTTTCCCCAAGCCTGACAACCTCAATTCAATCCCTGGGACCAGCACAGTGGCAAGAGACAGCCAACTCATGTGAGCTGTTCTCTGACCTCCACATATTCAGTAATGTGCACATACACACATTTGGGCCTGGCATGGTGGTACACTCCTTTAATCCCAGCGCTAGGGAGGCAGATCGGATCTCTGTGAGTTCGAGTCCAACCTGGTCTACAAGAGTGAGTTCTGGGCTGGAGAGATGGCTCAGCGGTTAAGAGCACTGGCTGTTCTTCCAAAGGTCCTGAGTTCAATTCCCAGCAACCATATGGTGGCTCACAACCATCTGTAGTGAGATTTGGTGCCCTCTTCTGGCGTGCGGGCATACATGAAGACAGAATGTTGTACACATAATAAATAAATCTTTAAAAAAAAAAAAAAAGAGTGCGTTCCAGGGCAGGCTCCAAAGCTACAGAGAAACCCTGTCTCAAAAAATAAATAAAACTTTGAAAAATATCCAAACACTTGAAAACTTCAGTCTTTTAAAAGTGCACTCTCAGCTGGGCAGTGGTAACACACGCCTTTAAACCCAGCACTTGGGAGGCAGAAACAGGCAGATCTCTGTGAGTTCGAGGCCAGCCTGGTTTACAGAGTGAGTTCCAGGACAGCCGGGGTGGTTAAACCTGTCTCAAAAAAAAATAAAAACAAAACCCTCCTAAAGTCCAGTCTCTTAACCTTGCCCTCCTGTAAAAATCCAAAATAGGGTACTTCCTCTTCCAAGAGGGAAGAACCAGGGCACGGTTACAATGAGATCAAAGTAAAACCAAACTCCAGCAGTGTAAACCAAACTCCAGCAGTGTAAGTCGTTCAGTGGCTAACGGCTAGACTTCCTGTGATCTGGGCTTTAACAGGCCTGAGGAGTCTTACATCATGAGCTCTGCAATACTTAACAGTTTGTCTCATAGACTCGGGCCACTCCACCCACTGCTGGGTTTTCGTGTGATTTGGTTTATTTTTTGGTTGGTTGGTTGGTTTTTGGTTTTTCAAGACAGGGTTTCTCTATGTAACAGCCTTGGCTGTCCTAGAGCCAAGCATAGACCAGGGTGCCTCGGACTTACAAAACAAAGATCTGCTTGCCTCTGCTTCCCAAGTACCGGGATTAAAGGCATGTGCCACCACCACATCTAGCCCCACTGCTGTTCTTCGTGTTCTCACAGACCTGGTGTGTCTCCATACAGTGGGTTCTCAGCTGCTCTCCATAAACCCTTCGTGTCTTCAGTGCCAGTAGAAAACTTTCAGAGCCATGGGGGATACTCTTACATATTACTAAGTCAACTGCCAGCCTGAAATTAAGCCTTTACCTACTGGACCATGGCTTCTGTGTGCTGACCCTGAGAAAATACTTCTCGGGAGATTTGACTCAGTGAGACTGGTCTCTTAACCACGCCTTTCCCCCTCCACCCCCAGCCCCAGTTAACCATTGTCAATTGTCCCAGTAAAGCAAAAGTTTCACTTCAATGGTGCTGATCTCTAGTTAAAATCATGGCTGATTCTTCAGTCCCTGCTGACCAGAAACCACAGATTCTTAATTCAAACATCACACAGATGGCCCCAGGAGAGTCTTTGGAACCACACAAGCCAGGCCTCCATCGTCTGTATCTCTCTCGACATTCCTGTCTCCCAAACTTCCGGGACAGGTCATTAAACTCTGGGCATCCAATGACCCTTTTTAACCCAAAACTCCAGATACCTCCACAATCCTCCCACAAAACAGTGCGCTCTGAGCCGGGTGGCGGACGCCTTTAATCCCAGCACTCGGGAGGCAGAGGCAGGCAGATCTCTGTGAGTTCGAGACCAGCCTGGTCTACAAGAGCTAGTTTCAGGACAAGCTCCAAAACCACAGAGAAACCCTGTCTCGAAAAAAAAAAAAAAAACTGCGCTCTGTCCATCACAGCAACAGACGCATTTTCTGGTACCAGCTGTTGGATGAGCTTGCTTCCTGTTACTGTGATAAACACCTTAACCAAAAGCAACTGGGCGGGGCACTCGGGAAGCAGGTAGATCTCTGAGTCTGAGACCAGTCTGGTCTACAGAACAAGTTCCAGGACAGAGCTATACAGAGAAACCCTGTCTCAAAAAGAGAAAGAGAGAGGGAGGGAGGGAGGGAGGGAGGGAGGGAGAGAGAGAGAGAGAGAGAGAGAGAGAGAGAGAGAGAGAGAGAGAGAGAGAGAGAGGAAGAAAAGCAACTTGGGGAGAACAGACTTGTTTAGCTTACATGTCCTGATCACAGCTGACCACTGAGAAAAGCCAGGCCAAGGATGAGCAGAGACAGAAATGGTGGAGCAAAGCTATGCGCTGGCTTGCTTTCTTACACCATCCAGGAACCCAGGACCAGCTGCCAAGGGTGATACTGCCCACAGTGAGCTTGCCCTCCCACATCAGTCACCAACCAAGAGACACACACACACCCGGCCAACAGACTTGCCCACAAGCAATCTGATAGAGGCAGTCTTTCAAGGTTCCCTCCTTCCAGATGACAAGCTTAGGTCAAGTTGACAAAAACAAAACAGAACAAAACAAAAACCCACAACTAACCGGCCCGGCCGCTATGCATGCCTGGCTTTTCCGCTTTCTTGGTTTTGGTTTTGGTTTCAGAAGGGGCAGAATGAGATATGAGGTCCACGCTGGCCTCAAATTCACTATGTAGCTAAGGATAACTCTGAACTCCAATCCATCCACCATTTCCTGAGCGTCTGTCTGACTTTCCTGAGTGACATTTTCTTTTGCCAATGTCATCCATAGGGCTGAATGGGAACGAATATGGTGCCCAGAAGGTTCCCTTGTCCTACCAGCCTCTGCTGGTGTGGCTGGGCCTTGATTCCATATGGAATGGAGAAGGTTACATGGTCTTCCTGCCGGCAGACTGGGGTAAAGAAACACCAGGCCTGGCCTCCACCCATCGGATGAGGCGCTGCAGGGTGCCTTCTTGTTGACATTCACCTGGTTCCCAGCTACATCGAGGCTGTTTTCTCATCTTTGAGAGTTCTATTTTAGTTTTCACTTTACGATTGACCTGGGGGGGGGGGGCAGAGACAAGATCATACCATCTTTTCTGGGCCTGACATCTGGGCAGGTATCAGGCCTGACAAAAACAGACTCTGGTTTCTGGAAATTCTGTGATGTTGACAACATGGTAAGGAGCAGTCAGCACGGTGGTGGTTGGCATACAACAGTCGTCTGTGTGTGTGTGTGTGTGTGTGTGTGTGTGTGTGTGTGTGTGTGTGTGTAAGTTCACAGGAGGGAACAGCTTGGGAGATGAGGTAAGGGTCTTTAAGTGGAGCGTATAAAGGCAAGGTAGGAATATCAGTATCGGGTGGAAAGATGGGTGAGTTGTCAGCAACAGAGAGGGTTGGGGCAGTTCTGCAGGAGATGCTGAGCTGTTTGGACACGGTGGGTAAGGGCAGCAGAGGTACATTCGTGCACAGAGATACACCTTGAGTCAGGTGCAAGGGAGTGGGGAACAGCACCTGGCCAGCCTCCTAGGCTGACTGTATACTCAGAAGATCCTGTGCACGGGCGCTCCCTCCCATTTTGCCTCCACAACTGCTCATTTCCCCAACTCCAGCTCAAAGACGACAATGTGTCATTCATTCATCTCCTGGTGCCTGGCACTGGGAAGGGAGGAGGGATCAACTGGGCAGTGCAGCAGCCGGCGTGGAAGCAATAGCATATTTCAGGAAGGAAAATGGTGAGCATCATCTCTGGAGGTGGGGCACAGGCCCTGCCGGGAATAGAGCAAGGTGCATTTCTTTTCTGGCCTAGAGATCCGAGGGGTGAAGGAAAGAAAGCCGATCGCCGAGCTAGAGCTCAAAGATCAGCCCAGGAGCTCCTCTGGCGCCGCTTTCACTGGCGCACGTAGCTCCATCTCCCGTTGCCACAGAGACAGGAGGTGGTTGCTATGGAGACTGACTGCCACGACCAGCCAATCCCGAGCTGCTGTTTCAGCTCATCCTGGGGCCTGGAGGTAATAACTCCTTCCTTGGACTCCCGGCGTCCTCTGCCCAGTCATTGAGCGATAGGTTGGGCCATCACTCATTAAAGTAGCCCTGCCCACTCTGCAAAATACATATCTATCTCCCCAGATTAACCCGCATCCCTGGTTCTGGCAGCACCTTTTGCCTCTTCCAGCTAAGAGACGATGTCACCTTGGGAGGAGCCCGGACTCCAAGTGGATGCTGGATGTTGCTGGAAAGGCGGGGCAGGGCGCAGCCTTCTGGCCTTAGACTCAGCAGTGTGAGAGAAGTGATGGGATGAATGTGGGGAATGAGCGCCCTCCCTCTGGCACTCCGCAGTGCCTGGCGCGGTGGCGCACGCTCACTCGGCTTGAGAGGCGGGCGGGGCAACGCTGACGTCATCCACGCTCCCCCCCCCAGCAGAGGGGCGGTGGCCGAGCTGGCTACTCCGAGCACATTGACGGACAGAGGGACAGAGAGACGGGGGACCGGCAGGCACACGTCCAGGCCATGCCCGGGGAGGCTGCGCGTGCTGAACTGCCGCTGCCTGAGGCAGTAGGGTCAGGATCCCGCACAGGTGAGACCGCAGCGGCTCCCCGTTCTGGCCCAATACCTTTCTCTGGCTTTCTCTCTCTCCATCCCTCAGCTTCCTAACAGTCCCGTCCTCTATCTTTCCATACCGGTTCTTCCCTCCACATTGCATCCTTCCCCCACCCCCACCCCCAGGATTTCATGAAAGCCTGGAGGCCGCAGGGATCATCCTCCAAACCTGAAGCCATGAAGGGCAGTGTCTTTCACTCTGGGCTGGCGCGAGGGGGGTGCTCTTTGGACCAAGTCCCATTTGCTTGAGCTTGTGCGCCACATCGCGTTTCTTTGTCCACAGAGAGCTATGGGGCCACAGGACCGACGGTGGGTGGCCGGTTTGGAAGCAGGAGTCCCAGAGGGTACTGCAGGCTTACCCGGTGACCACCAGAGGGTCCTTTGAAGTACCTTAGGTGTCCAGGACAGCAGGCGGCTAGACTAAGAAAGGAGGTGTAGGGCTGATGGGAGTCCAGCCAGAGGACACTGGCAGAGCTGAGTCTGGAAGGTGAGGCCTTGGGGAGGTGTTGTGGCCAGCAGTGGTCTTAATACGTAAATGTTGGAGAAGCAGGGGCATTATGTTGGTGGGAGCCAGTCCACTTGCAGGCCTGAGGGTACTCTTAAGCTTGAATGGTCCCTGCTGGAGATGAACTGTGTGGGGCTTGGGCAAAGCCAAGGGCACCTTGCTGTGTGCAAGAAGTCATCTGGGGACAGAATGGGCAAGAATGGGGATGGCACCAGTGCTGGGCCAGAGGCCTGACTGAGAGCTAACACAGATACCACCCTACTCTTCTTGGGGTACTGACAAGTCAGGCGGGGGACTCCCCAGATCCAGTGGCAGGCTGGTTTCTTTCTGGCTTGCTTGGTGACTTTGGATGAGTCATGAAACAGACAACAACAACAAAAATCCCCCATGACTTTGGTCTTTTATTTCCATTTTAACCTTGGCCCAATTCTGCCCTTCTTCTGCCCTGAGGCCACACTAAGAAGTAGAGATGGCAAGAACCTGACTTCAGGACACCCAGTGATGGCTACTAACCACACCCACTTCAGTGCCAGGTGTCCCTCAAGGGACCTGAAGGATCCCCTTCCCTTTCTGTCAGGACCCCTGGTTGCCCTGCTAGCCCAGCTGCAGGCCGATGAGCCCAGCCAGTGTCGACGCGGCTGAGAGCAGATATTGGGGAAGTGGCTGTCTCCTCTTCAGCCTCCCTCTCATCCTGAGCAAGATCTACCCAGCAGCTGAGAAAGACAAAGCCACGGTGCAGGCCATGTTGCCCTGTCACCAGTGAGCATGGTAGAGCCAGCAGCATTGGCTGTGTGCCTGCCAGAGCGGCAGGCCCCTAGGCACTGCCCCTCCCCCGCTCATGCAGGACTCTGGGGACAGTAGGAAGGCTTTAAGTGGATACTTCAAAGCGATGTGTGTTTGGCCATGGTCCAGGTGAGAGAGGAGCTGTTACAGAGGTCACAAAAAAGGGGGGGGGGGCTTACTAAATGATGCTTTCAGCACGGAGTACACTGGCGGTGCTGAGCTAAAAGCCACGGGACTCAGTGACTATTGCTGTGATCTCAGTGGTGATATACAGGCCAGTAAGACAGCAGCAGCCAGAAAGTTAGGAGGTGGTATGGGTGCTGCCTCTGGAGAGGTTTGTCTGCTACCTTCCTAAGTACTTTCAGATTCACGGGGCATCATGGCATGGGCATGTTTGCAATGTGGCATGCCAGCTGAGGGCATGCCAGCCCATGAGTACCTGTGCCTGAAGAGGCTTAGAGAAGGACCCAAGGCAGGCCAGGAGCTCCCAGAATGGCAGGGGAATCTGTTACCATGAAGTGGCTGCCACCATGGAGAGGAAGAGGCCAAACTTCTCTCAGCTGTCCTGTTCCCATGGGCACCTGATCACCATAACTTCCCACCACTGCCCTTTGGAGCAGATGCTACCACTCAGATGCTGCTACATGTCTGTCTCTGTTCTCCAGAAACTTAGCTGCATACAGGGCTTTGTGGGGAGCTCTGGGAAACCTGAGGTTGGCCTCGAGTATAGGCAAGCGTAGGGGAGAGATGGGCTAGAGGCAAACCTCCTGCTTTTTAGCAGAGCTGGAATGTTCCAGAGCTGTAGTGTGTGGGACCCTAGCCCTTGCCACAGGGAGGAGCTGGCATTGTCCAGTGGATTCTCATAGCCCTGTTCCTGCCAAGCCCAGGTGAGTCAAGCTGAAATAGCAAACCGGACTCTGAATAGAGACAATGGCTGATTGTACCTTTGCTGAAGTGTCCCCAAGAAAAGCCTGGGTTTCTAGTACACATTCCTCATGGCTCCCCTTCCTATACAGCCTGTCGGCAGCTGCCTGCTCTGCTGACATCCCTGGAAAGTCTTCCTCAAGTCCACTTAGCCTCCACGCCACCCTCATCTCTGCTACCATCCCTGGCAAGCCCTCCTCTGCAATTTTAGCCATGGAAACCTGCTGTCCCATGTTCAGCTCTTCACCTGGCGTGGCCTGAGATGTGTCCAGCAGGCATCTCGTGTCCTTTCCTGTCTCCACAGATCTCTCATGTGATGCAGCCAATGCCACCATCCTGAAAGGGGACCAACAGGAGCCCCATGCCCTGACCCCAGGGCCCAGCCTCCTGGCTCTCACATTCCTGTCCAGCAAACCAGGTGCCCGGCCCCAGCCTGAGGGAGCCAGCTGGGATGCAGGGCCCAGTGGGGCTGCCTCAACCTGGGCAGATCCAGCAGAGGGTAGCCCAAGTCCAGGGGTCCTCCCCGAGGGCCTACCTCTCCAGCCTTTGTCTGCTGATGTCCCTCTCCCCACCACCCTGGAGCCCCGCATCGTGATGGGTGAGGAGACATGCCAGGTCATCCCTTCACCCAGGGCAGCCTGGCCAGTGCTCAGGGACCGGGAGGGTGGGCACATGGCCCTGCATCCACCTCCGGAGCTGTGTTCTCAGGGTGATCCTCCTGTGCCTTCCCCTCCCCCCGACCTTGAGTCCTACTTCACAGCCCCCTCCACTCCCACCAAGACCATCTATGGCCTGCTCCCTGACCATGCGCCCCACAGCGATGCCTGGGACCTGGAGGCCGAGCTGCTGGATGAGTTACTGGACTCAACGCCAGCTTCACCCTCAGGCTCCTATATTACAGCAGATGGGGACAGCTGGGCCTCATCGCCTTCCTGTTCCCTCAGCCTGCTGGCCCCAGCTGAAGGGCTGGACTTTCCCTCCGACTGGGGCCTCTCCCCGTCAGGGTCTGCGGTAGACGAACTAGAGCCACACCCCACAGACCCTCCAGAGCCCCCATCCTCGGAGTCTAGCCTCTCAGCCGACAGCAGCTCTTCCTGGAGCCAAGAGGGCCATTTCTTTGACCCGACCTTCTTGGCCAACGACCCGATGATCCCTGCCGCCCTACTACCCTTCCGGGGTAGCCTCATCTTCCAGGTGGAAGCCGTGGAAGTGACACCCCTGTCCCAAGAGGAGGAGGAGGAGGAAGAGGAGGTAGCTGCTGGTGCTGCCACCCCGGATGGAGACCTGGCCGGAGAGGGCGAGGATGACAGCTCATCTGGCTCCTTCCTGCAGTCACTGTCTGATCTGTCCATCATCGAGGGCATGGACGAGGCCTTCGCCTTCCGGGATGATACCTCGGCCCCCTCCTCAGACTCGGACTCCGCTTCCTATGCCGGGGCAGATGACGACAGGCTGTACAGTGGGGAGCCCCATGCCCAGCCCAGTGCCGAGAGTACAGAGCAGGAGCACAGAAGCAGGGTCACATTTCAGGGGACAGAGCACGAAGCCCGTCTCACCAATAGCCAGGAATCGATTGCAGAACTAGCAGAAGAGGCTCCAGTTTTAGGCAGAGAGTCTGAAGCTACCATGCCCCTTCCTGATCTGCGAGCAGCTCCAGACCCCCAGGAGGAAACCACAGTCACCCCCAGGGGAGGGAACGAAGAAGTTGATGCGGTTGCTCAGCAAGCACCCAGCATACTGCCCCAGCCCTGCCAGCAGGGGCTGAGCACAACTTTAGGCTCTGAGCCTGTCCCTGAACAACCAATTCTAGATCTGCAGGAAGAAGCAAGCCCCACCTGTCCAATCCTTCCTGATAACCTGAAGGAAGGAGGCCTGGGCCTTCCCTCCACACTGGAGTATGTGGCTGTGGCTTCAGTGAGACCCCAGAAGGCCGAGGGAGCTGCTGCAATGCCCCAGGACTCCCCTATTACTTTAGCCCCATTATTGCAATGTGCAGATCCCGCCTCAGGCCCAGAGTCTGTGGCTGTAGTCACTCTGAGGCTCCGGCAAGATGAGGGGTGTGTCGTAGCAGTGCAGGATGCTCTTGTGGCACCATTGCCTCCACTCCTACAGAGCACAGATGTGGCTACATTTGGGTTCCAGCAGGCTGAGGAAGGCATCACAGAACCCCAGGACTCCCCTGTGGCATCATGCCCATCCCTGAAAGGCTTAGACCCAGAACCTGAGGCTCTGGTCACATTGGGGTCCCAGCAGGATGAAGGGGTTGCCCCAGTACTCCAGGACTCTCCTATAGCATGTCTACCCCTGCAAGGCTCAGACCTCACCTCAGACCCAGAGCCTGAGGCTCTGGTCACATTGGGGTCCCAGCAGGATGAAGGGGTTGCCCCAGTACTCCAGGACTCTCCTATAGCATGTCTACCCCTGCAAGGCTCAGACCTCACCTCAGACCCAGAGCCTGAGGCTCTGGTCACATTGGGGTCCCATCAGGATGAAGGGGTTGCCCCAGTACTCCAGGACTCTCCTATAGCATGTCTACCCCTGCAAGGCTCATATCTCACCTCAGACCAAGAGCCTGTGCTTGCTGCCACACTGGGACCACAGCAGGCTGAGGAGGGTGACACCATACCCCAGGTTACTCCAGTAGCATCATCTTCACCCCTGCAAAGCTTAGATTCACCCTCAGAACTACAACCTGTGGCTGCAGCCACACTGGAGTCCCAACAGGCTGAAGGCAATGCCACAGCAGCCCAGGACACCCCTGAGATGGCACCTCCTTCCCCCCAAGATACAGATTCCACCTCCGACCCAGAGCTGATAGTCCAAGACACCGTTCAGACACTGCAGAGAGAAACAGGCTACACCCCAGAGACGAAGCCTTCAGCCTCTGAGGTCCATCAGGAATCAGGCGTGGCCTTAGGACCAAAGCCAGTGCCCAGGGAGCAGGATGCAGAACCCCCTCTAGACTCGGCACTCCCAGCTCCAAAGCCAGCCCAACAGAATGGCTCAAAGCCAGCTGTGAAAGCTGATAACCCTGGGGCTCCAGAAGAGCCATGTCCCACCTTGAGCACAAAGACCTCCGAGCCTGCATCTTGTGCGGGAAAGGAAGTAGCGGAGAACCTATCTGTACTCAAGCAAGGAGCATGTCTTGAAACACATGATGGGGTCAAGACCCACTCACCTCAAAGAGAGGCCCTGGGGGCCAAGAACAAGCGGGGCAGAGGTCACAAAGCACCAGGGCACGGAAATGGGTCTAAATCGGCATCCCAAGGTACAGGGGAGACTTCCAAGGCACATTCTGCTGCGGGCTCTGAGGTCAGCCAGACACAGCTGACCTCAGCTGTGGAGGGAAGGGCCCTGAGCAGCAAGGACACCTTGGGCCCCAGGCTTCCTGCGGCTCTATCCGTGCAAGCCAGGCTAGGTTCCTGCCCAGGGTCCCCAGCAAGGGCCACATGCACACTGAGCAGAATCTACTCTGAAGACACTGCCAGGTCTGCGCCACCCTTCCTGCAGCTGGAGCCCATGCTAGGCCTGGGTAGCAGAGAACGGTCTCAGAGGACCCCAGGTGCCCTTAATCCTTCCCCAGCAAACTACGCTAGTGACCTGCCCACTGCATCCCAGAAGAGGTTCCTGGACCCTGACCCTCATGCTCCCAGTGCCCTCGACAGGGCATCCCAAACATCCCCAGCCTCCTGCCTGTGTCCCACTCCCCAGAAAGCCTCTGTGGAAGAGGAGCCCCTAGCCTCTCGTGGTCTGATGCCTCGGGCAGGAGCCCAGGGACCTGCTGCTATTACTGCCTCGGGATCCACAAAGCCTCTGGGGGCCCGGCAGCGTGTCAGCCTCTCACCTCACTCCACCCTCAACCCCAAGGTGAACCCCACAGATGCCAAAGACCTGGCTTGCATCATCTCAAGCCCCTGCCAAGTGCCTCCTCCCTCTGGGACCCAGAACCCAGCTGGCCCTCGAGGGTTCCCAGCCCATGAGCAACAAGAGGATGAAGACAGCCTAGAGGAAGGTAAGGGTATGTGGGGGTCAGGGCCTGGGCCAGCTAGACTTCTTCTAGGGAGACACTAGAGGATGATGGGACTGGAGGACCCTCTGCAACAGCAAGAGGCCCTCATACCTCACCTCACCCCTTCCCCCAGACTCACAGAGGGCCCCAGGCTCTGGCCAGCATTCGGATAGCCATGGGGAATCGTCTGCCGAGCTGGATGAGCAGGACATCCCATCTCAGAAAGCGCAGTGCCCGGCACAGGTGCTGGTCCCAGAAAGGGGTGGGTGTCTGGGCATTTCCCCGGCCCCCGCAGATGCTTAGCCTTCACCTTCCTACAGGGCTCAGCAGGCAGCAATGAGGAGACCATTGCCAAAGCCAAGCAAAGCCGCAGCGAGAAGAAGGCTCGAAAGGTCAGCTGAGGGCCCTGGGAGAAGACATGTATACAGGGAGGCACCCTTACGAACGCCCCTCATAGCCTGTGGCCAGTGAAACCCTAGCCACGAAAAGGGCTTTGAGTTAAATCTAGTAACCCTCACCCCTAACACTGGGATGTCCTGAGGCCCTTCAGAGGGAGGTCAGCCTGACACGGGAAACGGCAGCCACCCAGATACAGGTAAAATAGTCTGAGTCTCCTGCCCTCCACCTCAGGCAATGTCGAAACTGGGCTTACGGCAGATTCAGGGAGTCACCAGGATCACCATCCAGAAGTCCAAGAACATCTTGTTTGTCATTGCCAAGCCAGATGTCTTCAAGAGCCCCGCTTCTGACACCTATGTGGTCTTTGGTGAGGCCAAGGTCTGTCACGCTGTCATGTTAAGGCTAAGGCTGTAGCCATGCTGTGGTTTGGGGAAAGGCCAGCGGGGTCAGTGAGCTCTGTTCACACAGCTGTCCTATACTGCAGATTGAGGACCTGTCCCAGCAAGTACACAAAGCTGCAGCAGAGAAGTTCAAGGTGCCCTCAGAGTCCTCAGCACTGGTCCCCGAGTTGGCACCTGGACCCCGGGTGAGGCCAGAGTGCGAGGAGCAGGAGGAGGAAGATGAGGAGGTGAGGCCTAGAGGCTCCCAACACTTGACTGGGGGCAGAATAAGGGCAGGATGGGATTCTGCCTGGGCAGCACCCTGCTCACGGGCCTCAGGCAGCTAAGCCACCCCCCTATCCCCTCCACCAGGTAGAGGAGGCTGGACTGGAACTTCGTGACATCGAGCTGGTGATGGCCCAGGCCAATGTGTCCAGGGCAAAGGCCGTGCGGGCACTGAGGGACAACCACAGCGACATCGTCAATGCCATCATGGTGAGCACTTCCGCAGCCCAGATGCCCCTATGGTGGTCCTGCAGAAAAGGCCTCTTTTAACCTGGCTCTTCTCCTGCAGGAACTGACAATGTAGCTACTGACTGAAAGCTCGGGCCGCTCTGCCTCTCCCCAGCCTGTTGCCCAATAAATGAGTGTCACATCCTCACCCTCTGGAGTCCCCTCGGTTGTGTGGTACAGTCTCTGCCATCTGTGTCATCGCCACCACCACCCTTCAGTGTCCATCACTCTCTGCTGTTACCAGTACCCACGACATCCCTCATCACCCCCAGGGTTCCTTCACCCCTCTCTGGCTCTGGAGCAGATCCAGCTGGAGCAGCACGGCTGTGTCCTCCCTGTCCTTCCCTTCCACACACACCCTGCTGGTGTGCACACGGGAACACGAGGGCATAAGTGGGCACAGGGTGGACTACGGCTTGTCTTCAGTCTCTGTACATGTCCAGGAAAGAATTAGCTGCATGTCAATCAAGAGACCACCCGAACCATCTTGACTGTCTTGCTTTGGCCTAGGCACCCATGACCAGCCCCAGGATAGCAGATGACAGGAAAATTCTGTCAAATACTGTCCTGAGGCCATGACTGCTGAGACCCCAGGGATACTCTAGCTTACCCAGGAGACAACTGAGGTGTCCACAGAGCCCCTGGGGCTCTACCACAACCACCCCAGGGCAGAGACAGTCCTGGTCCTCACACAGCTCTTCTGCCCAGGACACAGCACTTCCTCCCCGACGTTGGGCAACAGAGGAAGTTGTCCCCTCAGCCCAGCTTCCTAGGGCTGCCTGAACCCAGGTCACTTCCCTCCTTTCGGTGGCTAGGAGAGCTTTAAGGGGTCTGAAGAGTAGAGGCCAGAAGGAACTCAGCAAGGCTTAAGAGAACAGCTGACTGGGGAAGGGGACAGAATGAGGCCCATTGGGCCAAGGCCAAGTCAGCCTTTCAGAAGCCCCAACTCTCAGCTCTTGTACCCTCACTTCTGATCGTCCAGGAGGCCTTCACAAAGGGCCAGAGCTGCTACTGTCCTGGAGATGATCTGTACAGAGAATACAAAGAAAGGAAACCCTGCCGAGTAAGAGGTTCCCAAAGTGTCTGCTCCTGTCCCTTGTTCAGAGTCAAAGCAGAAGCACCAATCATCTCTTCTACTCTGGCCCTGGACACTGTGGTCACTCGTGGTCCAGCAGATAAGGGTCAGGATGGAGTGCACCCCCACCCCCACGACAACATGGCTTTCAGCTAACCAAAAGAGAAAAAAAAATGCTTGACAACTGGAGATTAAATTATTCACATTGTAGTAAACTTCTTTTTAAGGTCTCTGAGAGTTAGAAGAGGAAAATCATGTGCAAAATATCAGCTGTCCAGGGCCAGGCCGACAGAACTGGCTCTTCCTGCCAGCTGCAACTGGCCCTCCCCGAGTGGGGATATGCTACAGGCATTGCTGGGCCCCCGAGGAAGAGACACAGAGGCTTCCGCCCTGTGCTGGGGCACATGTCCTGTGGCAGCTCTCCACTCCTTCACAGTAGAGGACCTGGCCACCGGAGCCACCTGTGTCTGCAGCACCTTCCTAGCTCCTAGCCAGGAAGGCCTGGGATGGCTGTGAGAAACAAGTGGATGCTGTCACGACCCATCACGCCGAGTCCTGGTCCATGCTGCAGCCTAGCGCTTCAATATCACTACTGATGTCCAAGATCATACGGTCCCACTCATCTCCCTCTGACGGCGCTGACCGGTCATCAGGGCTGCCTGTGGTCCTGTTCCCATTGGTGGTAGAGGTGGAGGTGGTGCTCAGGGCCCGGCGATGCCTGCCAAAGCTGTCAGTGATGATGCCACGGCCGTCTTTCACGCCAATGGTCTCCAGGAAGTTTTCAAAGTGCTGACTGTCCTTCTCAGGGATAAAGGGCCTCAAACCTGCCAAAACATGACCCAGAGTGACATCTCAGGGGACCTCAGGACCCTCACACCATACAAGCTATGCCCTGGGGCCAGGTGTAATTAAATCTGACTCTGACAAGAGCCCCCAGCTATGGATAGCTTGGTATCTGTCAATATCACCCTCTTTGGCTTTGAGATGTGACACAGGTCAGGGGCCTCTGACCTTCAAAGCCCCTATCTTACAGGGCAGAAAGCCAAGGCCACAAAGCCATTTGTAATGAGGTCTGTCCTCAGAGCCAGGACTCGTGCCAAAGCCAGTAACCAAACCCAGAGTAACCTTCCCAACCAGGAAGCTGTCCTACTCAGGAAGACCAGCGTCTCAGAGTCGGGGAGCCAGAACCCTGATGAGGGCAGGCAGCCTGGGCCCGCCCTGATGGGATGAAGAGTGTCCCTGCACACAATGGGTGAGTTTGCAGACAGCAATCCTCTGAGGTGGAGCCTTACCAGAAGGAGGAGGAGCGGATTTCAAGGTCATCCTCCCTGAGCTACCCGAGGCTCTACACCACAAACCCAAACTAAAATAAACCAAACACATGAAAAAGCACCCTAAACGGCCTTCTCAGGTGAGGGCCAGGAGGTGGTAGAAAGGCCTAGAGGCTAGCAGAACTGCCTGCCTGATGCAGGGTTCTGAGCAGCAGATACCCACAGCTCAACACTTTCTAGCCCACTTTTTCTGAGTCTTCCTAGCCAGCCCAAGCTATCCTCCTGCCTAAGTATCCCGAGTGCTCAGATGATGGCTGTGCTCTTCACGCCTAGCTCTATACCCACAGCTGGCAAAGATGCAGCTGAAAACAAACTGGGGAGGAACTGGCTTCAGGCTTGAGAGGGTACATTCTGGGCTGGGCGCCAGGGACCTGGAACCTGAGCCTGCTAGCTATCTGAGCTGGGAGTGAGGAGCTCAGACTAGATCACTGTGTTCTGAGTGCTGGCAGAACAGGAAACCACAGACACCAAGGTCCCTTCCAGGTGTGGGGCCAATGTGTCAGTGACCCAGCCAGTGCTGGGCTTGGAATGAGCTGGGCTCTGCAGGGGTCTTGGACAACAGCTCATCCTTCTATCTAAATGGTGTCTTTGCTTTCACACTCACCAAATTCCTACATGCTCCCCAAAACCCCCTTCAAGTGTCCCCTGACTCTTCAGCAATCGCTCCTGACTTGGAGGGTTTGTTTAGACCCCGTCTCAGGACCCTGGCACAGTTCCTGGCACAGCCAATCCAGCTCAGCTCAAGGGGCTAAGCACAGTGAGAATACAGTTACGCCAATCCTGAAGCCTCAGACAAGCTTTGGCGACAGACATGTCTGATGGAGCTCCTCCCCTCTGGACTGTGCACATTCCCAGAGGGGACCAGGGACCCTCCCGAGCCGCACTCACCAAGCAGCAGGAACTTGCGGCTGTCCCCATAGAGCTGCCGCAGGCTGATGCAGAACTCATGGATGGAGGCCCCATTGCGGTATTCATGGAGCAATGCTGCAAACTGTTGGATCTCCTGCGATGACAGCTTAGTACGTAACTGTGAGGGAAGAGTGCAGAGTAGTGAGGGCTGGCACCGGTTAAGTGTGTGAGTGTGTATGCTTGTGTAGCAGCTGGACCCCACCCTTGCCACACCCCCAGTGGCCAAGGTTCAATACTTGGGTATCAGGCCCTGCTGCAGATCAGATACACTGGTCATGTCTGGCTTCATGTGTACCTGCTATGGGGTCAGAATGCCCACCATATGTCCCTGTCATCAGGCCCAGCATACAAACTACCCAGAGAACCAGGAGGAACACAGATCTGCTACCCCAGAACAGAAAGGTCCTCAGTAAGGCTGAAGGGAAGGAAGCTAGCTAGCTCTGTGTGGAGCAGCAACGATGTAAACGTGACATGGGGGTAAACAGATCTAGAAGGTTGACTTTTCAAATCTAAGATGCAAGGAGGCATCAGGCCTAGGCACCTGAAGAAGCTGCTGTTCTTACTCTGCACCAGCATGGTCTAAGCCAAACAGCCCAGCACCAACTCGGGCCGATAGACTCCCGCTCCCACAGACCCCACCCCCCACGAACGCCCGCTCCCACAGACCCCCGCCCCCACAGAACGACAGTAGCCTACCGTTAGCATGTAGTCCTGCAGCAGCTCTGTGGCGCTCGTGCTCAGTTCACTCTCGCTGACAGTCTTGCTATGGGGCGAGGCCTGCATGCAGAAGGGCAAGGGTGGCAGGCCTCCCACATCTCCGGAGTCAGAGAAGCAGCTGCAAAGGCAAAAGGTGAGTGGCCCCTGAACACTCAGCTCCTCACTACACAGCCTCATGGGCCCAGTTAGGGCTGTCAACCTGTTTACAAACATGACCATAGAAGCAAAGAACAGAGACTAAGGAAGAACTGCCTGGGTGTAGCTGACTCCTGGGATCAACCTTACAATAGAGCTGAGATGGGTTCTGGGCAAAGAGAGGGAGTTCAGTGGAAGGACTAGGACAGAAGGCTTGGCCTGCTCAGGTGGTGGTCCCAGGAGGGACGGCAAAGAGGGGCGGGACGGCTGGGAGGATGAAGGTTGAGCTAAGAGGCTTCAGGAAGATGCAAGTCACCACACTCTGAGCTTTTCCCAGCGGCCCTTCCGGAGGCCACAGAAGATACAGAGAAGAAAGGACTGCCAGGGCTCTAGGGGTGGACATCTGGGGCGCTGGACTCAGAGGGGCTGAAGAGAACTTGTGGGGCTGCCGAGACAGAGACTAGACACAGAAGACCATGAATTGGATGAGCCAAACCCAGAGCTCGGGACATGTACTCACAAGGTGCTGGCTTCAGCATCGTAAGTGTCCTTCATGTCCACTTTCGTGGAAGAGTCATCTGTGCAAAAGATACAAGACACAGGGGACTTTTGAGTACTGGGTAGGTGCTTCAGTCCCAAGTTCCCAGCTGGCCCTAATGCGAGCACTTGCTGCAGGTAACCCCAATGCCACATCTATAGGCAACAGTAGCTGCCCCAGCTTTGGGAACTTCATCACGGAGCTTCCTATCCTGGCGAGCGCTGAGTGTCCAAGGCAAGGTTCCTAGACTCGAACCCACATCCCTCCTGAGGATTTTGGTCAAACACGCATCCTGTCATAGGCTGGGATGGAGTCCACACAGGACTCACAGATGGCCAAGGAAGTAACAGTTGCTTTTGGAGATGTCAACCATGTGCTCAACTAAACCAGAGGGATAATGTCATTTGTCTCGGGGGACGCAGCAGAAGCT